CTCTCTCTCTCTCTCTCTCTCTCTCTCTCTCTCTCTCTCCTTCTTCTGTCTCTTCTTTCTCTTTTTTCTTCCTCTCCCGGTTGCTTAATTTTTGTGCTTGAAGAAATATATCCGAGAGTATTTAATAAATAACGCTTCTCTCCCTCTCTCTCTCATACACACACATATACGCGCGCGCGTTTTCGAAATCGCTCAGTTTAATCCCAGAACTAATATTTAAAATAGCGAATCTCTAATACGGCAAAATTAAAGATAAACAATTTTATCATATTTTTTCGCAATAAAAATTTAAAACTATTTAATTTAGAAATTACATCAACTGACCAAAACCCATGGTCGAAATTAATAATATCTCGATGATTGATCCGAAAAAGTGCTGTGTGAATCCAACAAAGCAGGTTGGCTCACAGTTTTTCAATGTTCACATCGAAAATACGTTATATATTGCGAGTCAGGGTCGATTTAAATTACTTTAATTGTTATTCTATATACTGGCGAAGAAATAATCTATAATTTTATTCAAAACTGTGCTCAGTGGGCTGGAGACCCACTATGTTGTTCCATAATTATAAAACTGAAAGATTAATTTTTTTATGGATATGAAAATGCCTATAAAAAGGTTTTTGAAGTTGCTAACTTGAAATATGACAATAAAATTTGAAATGTACCCACCATTACGGCGGATACATTTTACGCAATTTCAGTATTTGTATAGGTACTAATACTAAATATTTTAAAAGAAATATATAGTGTGCAGTACACAGATTTTCTTCCAGAGGTACACATGTGTACTGCACATTACTGCATTTAGTATTAGTACGAATATTCCAACACTGTGGTCAGATAAACTCGAACCCGAGTCCTTGCAATTACGAGTCTGGCATCTTTGCTACTAGACCATACTGCCCCCCCCTCTCCCAGTGTTCGTTTTACACCAATTGATTCACCTCATTATTCTGTACATAAAAGTATTAAGATACAATTATTAAAATATGAATAGTTTTCGAGATATTTTATATTTTATGTTAAAATATATCAGAATAGAAAATAAAATATCTCGAAAATTATTAATTTTTTGATAACCTTACAAGGGAACAATCAACAAATTAACTAATCAATATAAATTAATATTTCTTTTCAATTTATTTCTTCAATGTCTGTTTAAAACACGGCTGATAAAAAGAAAATTGCTTTTTCATTATTCGATTAGATTTCTTATTTACTTCATGGAAATTCACCTACAATGGAATCAAAGAAAAATTGCTTAATAAGAAGAGCTTTGTTACTTAATTCTTGCGCTAAATGGGGTATATTTCAAAGCACTTAATAAATAATATTCCTTTTTCTTTCTCTCTTCTTCTTCTTCTTTCTTTCTTTCTTTCTTTATACTTCTCTCTCCCTCTTCCTTTTTCACATTCTTTTTTGAGCTAGACTATTTCTGGCCAAATATTTGGTTGTAGGAGCCGCCGCGTGTATGCGGTTTCAAGACTCCATTCATCTCGTTATTCGTCTTGGGTTATCGAGTGGAAAGCTGGATTAGAATCGCGTCTTGTAAAACGCACGGGGTGGTTTTGTCGCACCCTACGCCCTCGAGATTTGTCGGCGAATTCACAGGCAAAAGCTTCGAGTCGATTTTCCATCCTTCTTGGCTCTGAATTTTTGATACCATCGATGCGTTCCCTGTGACCAAATACTTGACTAGAACTCCATCCAAATATTAATTCCTTTGACCGATTTTTCGACGAGTGTGCACTCGGTCCATACTCTTCTCCATCGTCTATCGCGAATTTCTAACACCCTTTAAACATTACTCGCGCTCGTAACTGAGCTTTGTTGAAATACCGATAGAAATTTCGCCTTTCTCTGCGAGAGGTCTTATATAATAAATGCGTGAGTCTCGGTTTAGTTTGCAATTAACATCCATATATTGTAATTCATTTGCAATTAACAGCCACAATGTAATTCGTAACTCGCTGCAAAGTGGCATTCACGTTAGCCTTTATAAAATTGCATTTTCCAGCATTAGATATATCTCGACTCGGTCGAATTTTCCCGGTCGCGTTTAATAATTACGTTAATTTTAGAATTCCCGTGCCTGCCTGAATTCTGGCCGAAAATCGGATGTATTGACCCCTTTCGCGGGCTTCATCCGTATTAGCGTCTGGCGTGGTCCGAAACACGCTATCGCGCGGAGCCTCCGTTGCTCCAAATCGGGGCCTCGCAGCACAACGGGATCGTATACGACGGAAGATTGACGGAGGGAAATGGAGAATGGAGCGGCTTGGCGAACGCGCGACAATGGGCGCGAAGAAAGGGTGGCACAAAAAGCCCTCCGGCATGGAAGGTGCTCGTTTCTCTCGGGGCACGAGAAGCTATTTCAGTTAACGCGGATGCGAAGAAAACGCGGCAGCTGTTACAAAACACGCCGTGTCGCGTCGGGCAGGTGCGCGCGAATCCTCACCTCATTGCGATATGTATTTTCCCATTTTCCTCGCTGAGCCGTCCTCCCCCTTTACCCTTTTCGCCCTGCTGAAGCGCGGCGTGAGGCATGTTATGTGCCAGCGCACGTATAATTTAGTCTTTTTCTTTTCCTTCTTCATTGGCTCTCCTTTTTCATGTCCTACCCCTAATTGGGACGTAGTGCCGTGCTTTTTGAAATTTTCTAATTCTTTCAACTCTGTAGTTTTTAGTCTTCTTCTTTTTCTTCTTCGTTGGATCTTTTTTTTCATATCCATCCTTAGTTGGGACGTAATACCTTGCATTTCAAACTTTTCTAGTTCTTTCACCTCTTTAGTTTTTAGTTCTTTAGTTCTCCTTTTTTTTCTTTGTTAGATTTTCTTTTTTATATCCGTCTCTAATTGGGATGTATAGTACCATGCTTTTCGAAATTTTCTAATTTTTTCAACTCTCTTTAGTTTTCAATCAACTTCTTATAAATCGAGTTATGGGAGAGTCGAGATTGAATTCGGGAAGTACCGGGAAGTACCGATTACGAATCGACCGCTTCTACGTGAAACTATACGTGTCATTCCTTATAATTTAGCGGTGG